TGAGAAGTTTTTGATCTCTTAAAATGTTTTTCTCAAGTTTTATCACAAAATTAGTTTCGTTTTAAATATTTTATAAGTTTTTTTATTAAAAATAGATTGCGTAAGCTATTCAAGAAGTCAAAAATTTGAAAACCAAACGCATTGTACGACGAAAATTAAATCGGCTAAAAAATTAAAAGGCTATATTTCAAATGGATAGTCTAATATTTATAGTAATGAGGAAAAGGAACTTTACTTTGGAAGAAATAAGTTCTTTTATCCATCATCGCTACCAGGTCAATCCATGCCAAATCATCCAGAAGTGGTTGCACGACCATCTCATATTTTTCTTAAATTTTCAGGGTTTATTATTTATGCTATAATTAGATTAAAACAATTTTTTTTTTTTTTTTTATGACCTTCCGATTTTTATGGCTATTTCAATGTAAAAAATAGCCAGAACGTTAAAAAACACACAGATTATTCAATATTAACTCAATCGACTTAAAATTTTAGGATTGACCTTATTATAACTTAAAGTTAACATAAAAAAAAAAAAAAATTTATGTGAAATTTCAAACTTAAATGACTTTTTAAAAATGGTGCTTTTTTTGAGAAAATTGGCGTTTTTGAGCTCACTTAAAACCATTAAGAAGTTATTATTTTATAGTGATTTTCAAATGTGGTATTGTATAGTATATAATCTATGTTTCAACTAAATTTCAAATATTTAAAACAATTTTCTTGGGATTTAGAGGCCTACAAAGTTAGAAATTTTATAAAAAGACACGTATTCTAGGTGCATTATCTCTGTTGGGGGACCTAATTTCAAAAAAATTTTTTTTTTAATTTTTTAGTTATATATCTTCTTNAATTTTTTTTTAAATTTTTTAGTTATATATCTTCTTAATACACCATATAAATTTGAAGTTTGAGAAAAAAGTTTAACATGTAAAATTTAGCATTAGAAAATCAGTAAAAATCCGTTCAAAATCATGTAATTTAATGATACTTTTTTGTTGTTTTCAAACCATATTTTTATAATTTTTTTATATATTACTGTATATGTAATATATTACAATACAATGTAACTATTATATATTATAATTATTACATATAAACTTTTCTGTAAGAATTGTGTATAGGTTTTATAGGTTGTATTGTGGATATTTTTAATTTTAAATCTAATACTTTTGCGTTGTTTGTCTTTATAAATATTTAATTAGATAATCTTATTCTGATATAGATTAGCAAGATTAATTAAATTTTTAGAAAAAGATCCATACACTGATTTATGACAATCTTCATTTGCTGATCATAATAATGAAGAAGAAAAATTATTATTATTTTTCAGAAAATTATAATTTTGTAGTACATGATGAAATTCAAAGCTTCCACTTGGTTAATAAATAAGCCACTCTTCATCCCTTTGTTTATTATTATAAAATAGAAAATATAATTAAGTGTCGATGTATATGCATAATTAGTGATCACATGGAACATAATACCATTGCTGTACATACATTTCAAAATCACCTTATATAAGACATTAGATTATCATTAGACATTAAACGGAACATATCATTTATCTTTGAATTTCATCATGTACTACAATTGCTAATGTTAAAAAAGCTATTTTTAACACTTTTTACATTGAAATAGCCCTAAAAATCGGAAGGTCATAAAAAAAAAAAAAAAAAAATTGTTTTAATCTAATTATAGCATAAATAATAAACCCTGAAAATTTAAGAAAAATATGAGATGGTCGTGCAACCACTTCTGGATGATTTGGCATGGATTGACCCTACCTACCGTTCCTTCATTTTTTAATAAGCCATTTTTGGAAAAAAGTTACACCGGCACCTAAAGTCAAAGCTAAAAGTGATGGATTAGTTGTTACTCTAAATTGGGATTTAAAGTTGAACTTGTCTTTTCCAAAGATAAAGGGTTTTGAAATTTATATTTGGAAAGAAACCAACCAGGTTCCATATGATTCTACGTGGCAAAAACCTGGTACCTTTGTTATTTGATACATATGAATGAATATAACTGTAAATATCATTTCGCTGTAAGGGCTATTGACGAACATAACAGACATACTCTTTGGCTTGTAATATAATTATGTGGAAAATGTCAGCGTTAGTAGCCAAAAAGAATCAAATGATACATGTAGTTCTCATTTAACAGTTTCTTTGTATTCCCAAGTGAATGTAGAAAATACAGAGACTCCATATTCTCTTGATTATTTCTTTATGCAAATAAGCCTAGTTTAGTTGAACACCAAAAAAAATTAAAATGCACAAATCTCAAAGCAAATATTAATCGCCAAAAACTTATGAAGCATCCACCACCATTACCCCCTAAAAAATGTATTAAAGCCCAGCCTGGCAGGAAAAACCCCCACCAACCCCTAAAATACTAGAGTTAGTAGAAGACAGTGAACATTTCAGATTGCAATGGAATTTAAAGTTAAATAATAATCACGTAAAAATCAAATTTTACAAAATATTTGCATGGGTTGATTATAAACGACAGTGGAAACATATCTTAAATATAGAAACGTTGATGCTATCGATGCAATGTAACTTTGCAGGATTTTCACAAGGGCACAAGTATTTTATTGTGTTAAGAACTGTAGATGTGCATGATAGACATGGTTCATTTGTGAAAAGACAAATTAAGTTTTAATTAATTCCTTTACATAATAATATTTTTTATCATAGTTATGTAATATACTATGAATTTTTTTAATTAGTTGAAAATTTTGATGTTCAAAATTAATATTACTTTGATAATATTAATGTTTTTTGTTCTAAATTATTCATACTTATTGAATATGTTTTTAAAAATAGAAATTTCATTGGTTAAACTAATGCAAATTTGTAATTATGTAATAACTATTAAAAAAATTATTATGAGCTTTAGTTATTTAATTAATATTCATAATATGCAACGGTTGTCATGAAAATAAACATAGTAATTATTGATGATTCATTATGAAAAAAAATTCCTAAGAAAACAAGTCAGTATATTTTTTAAAACTGTTTTTAGTATCGATTTTTATAGTACAGACATTTGAACTCTAGTTTATAATGACTTAATTAATATTGAGAATTGTTAACCACTAGATGTCGCACTAAGTATTATTGTAACACAATTTGTTAGATCGAATTATTTTACTGCAACCTCTAACTTCTTCTAAAATAATAATGATATTTTAGCTTCGATGCGAAGCTGAGAAGGTATTAATTTTACTATGATGTGTTTTTTTTTTTATTTTTTTTTTTGTGTCTGTGAACGCTCAATCTCAGCTCTCGCTGGACCGATTTTGATGAACAATATGTCAAAAGATCACAAATCGTATCTAGTCGAAGACATTACCCTCAAAAATTGAAAAAAATTCCCTCGTTCCCCGTAAACGGGGGAAATCCCCCAAAAAATTACAAATTTAAAAATCGCTAATTTTCGATATTTTTTCAATTTTTTTTACTTAAAATTGCNAAATGAAAATTTGGATTGATCATTTTTAACATATTAAAAATCAAATCAGTAATAATTTGAAAACAATTTTTTTTTCTTTTAATTATTTTATATATGTAATTAGTAATAATATAAAAAATTAGAACTGATAGATAAAGTCTAATTGCAGATTTGAAAACAACACGAAAATTTGATTTAGAAAAGTATATTTTTGCTTCTGATGAAAGTTCCTTGAAGTCCAGTGCATTCATTTATAGTAACAAATAATTTTTATTGATAATTATTGTATCAAGCCCTTTAAATTTTTATACACGTAAAAGTAAAGCAAAATATAACTTCTTTATTATTTTTATAATTTCTCCGTATAAATTACAATATTAAATTACTGAATATCAATTGTATACTAAATTTAATAATTATAATTAGTATTTATTCATATATTATATTTTAAAATCAAAGAACTGCTAATCAGGATATAATTAAAGAAATAAGAGTTGATGTTCCTTTTGGAATAATCCACCAATTTCTCTAAATGAAACACTATCTACAGATTTGCATCGAAGCGTTTCTTATGATAGTGATTTTAATCACTGTCAAATATCATCTATACTTGTCCCATCTATGCCTCCTCCACACTGTGCCTTGACCCCACTGTGCTACCGTTTTTTTTAGTATTAATCCTTTTTAGTATTTTTAGTTCTATATACTTCACGATTTATTTATTGTTAAGTATTATTTTAATTCATCCATTCATTTAATTATATCTTATTAGAGTCTTAACTATTTTTTATAAATGGAAAATACATATTTAACTAGCTTAATAAATAAATAAATATAAAGTTCAGAAAATGAGTAATTTTACTGGTCAATAACAACTTTTGAATTAGTNAATAACTGGTCAATAACAACTTTTGAATTAGTACTCCGAAGGTTATTAATATTTTTATATCATAGCGGATAGTGAAGTGCAGCAGAGTAATGATAAATATAACATAATTTGCTTCATATCTTCAATCTATACTTAAAAATGTTAACAACTTACGATATATTTGTCTAAAATTTGTTAACGATCAGTAATTTTCCTAATTATATTCCTTGTTTTATAAGCTGGTTAAATTTGTAAGTTTCCATTAAAAAGAATAAAGTTAACACCCTTATAAGATATCAAGGATAAATTAAAAAAATAATTAATACTGATAAATCATAAAAAATTTCAAAAGTAATTATTATTTATGAGAAATCGAGTGCCTGTCGTTAAAAGAATCATCTTGTATTATTTATAATAACTATATATAAATTTTAATATAAGCAAATACTAATAATTAAAAAAATAAAATGTTTATAAAATTTTAACTAAAAATTTAATTAAAAACTGTAACACTTCAGAACTGTTATTGTACTCGAATTGCCTTGTTTTTGCCGATCAAAATGTTATTTTCCATTTTTGTTATTATTTTGTTTATATTTATATTTTTTATTAATTTGCTTAGCGTGCTAACGTTGATGTTTTTGTATATGTATATCTGTTTCAATTTTGTTACTTATGTGTGTAAGTGTATTTGAGCTTACCGTGGGATTACTAGTCGGTTCACTATATTTGTTTTCTCAGTAAAATCTACATTTAGTTTGAAAATAAGTTTAGTCAGGAAAACTAAGTTTTTTTCAGGTGCGTAAAATCTTTCTTTCAAAGTTTATAAATCTTATTTTGCGTGTTACACCAAGAAACAATTTTTAATTGTCACCTCCCAATGAGTCTTAAAACAGTCAATAGGTGAATTTTGAATGCTGACAAACTTAGTGTTATTTATTGAACGTTATATTTTATCGTAATTTAGAAATTAATAAAGATAAAGTATTTTAATATATCTATTCATTTAAAACAAATGAAGCTGTTTTAAGTTTTTCAATTAAAAAACTTAAGAAAAATTTCTTTAACCACAATAACTTTTGTAGATATTGTTTATAGTTTGAATTATTATACTGGGTAGTTTACTATATAAGTAAGCCCTATTTAATGCTTGCGGGCATTGAATATTTCACAGCAAAATAATAAGTGAGTAAGAAGTTCTATGTAAGGTAAACTTAGAGTGACTGACATGAAATTATTATAAGCGTAAAATGTCTAAATGTAATTATCTGATTAACTTATAATATTATTAACTAATATTTTAGGTATAAAAAGAGTATAACAAAAAATTTTAAGCATTTGTAAAAGCCACTAAATATTTGTAGAGATAATTCTATATATTTGAATAGTAATTTACTTAAGCTCTATGACGCAAATGATTATTTTTCTGTTTGTGAATGTTTACGGTAAAAAGAAAAATAATGTTAATACTTATAATCTCAATTTATATCAAGTTTTTGTTTACTTATGTTTAATTGTAGAATTTTCAATAATATATTGCAAACGTTTTTTTTAAGATCTATATAGATTATTTATGTCTTAGGTCATGAATAAAATAGCTTATATAAACTTAAGTTTTTAAAAATTATTTATATATTTGACTTGTTTTAAATAAAATATACTAGAAGGTAAGTAATATTTTTATCTGCTATCATTATAAGGTTATATTATAAAATTCAACAATAATTGTGAATATCACCTAAGTTATAAATAATATGTTATACTATAATTAACAAAAACCTACGTTTTAGACTCCTACAGGACAAACTTTAGTTTAACATTCTATGTTAATAGCAAATAGTTTGTGTTACGTAAACGTTGCACACATATATCATATTAAAATCCATTATAGGAGTGCTACTAATAAATAAATACCCTAATTACAAATTTTACTAAGAAAGTGATGACTAAAATGATGAAATTAAGATATTCAATTTTATTTATTAAAATAATAAAAATTCGAACTTGGACACGGTTATGTTCAAGAATAGTTTAATTTAGGACTTATTTATTTACAAATTTTTTGTGATGAGCACTTTTATTATAAAAACCGCTAACTTTAACACAATAGAGTATAAAGTAGTAAAGTCATACACGCATTTTATTTCGTCTTACGCATTATATGTCATAAATTATACAATGAATTTATTTTGCTGAATTTACTATGCAAGTGATTTTTATATCATGAATACTTAATTAATCAAAAAATAAAAATTGTATGGTTCGCATATTTTATTTTCACACTTTTATCTTATTTTAGAAACATGTTTTTTTTCAATTTATCAATCAAAAAGTATTTTTTACGTTCATCCCTTTTACCTTATGACGGTATTAATTAAATTTTTACAAATAGTTATTTAACTAATGAACTATATTTATTAGATAATAATATAATTTAGAAAATGATTTATGAATAATAACTTTTATACTAATATATTACAAGTTATTAACAACAAAAAGAATTGATAATTTTTATACATCAGAGGGAAAATCACATCTTAAATTACATTATGCTTTGAAAGTGAGGTGAGACTATTTTTGAAATCATTTTTAATAAGTATTTTAAAAATAGTTTCAAATCATTTTTAACAAAGCATGACATAAGTTACAGTTACCTCAGGTATACAGATTTATAATTAATGTTTAAATTGATTTATATTTTTAGTGAGAAACAAAATTTTTTATTTATTGTTATACTTGCTATTATTATTCTAGGTTAGTTATTAACATGTAAAACAATTATCGTTCTATACATATTTATGTATTTTATTCTAAGTACATTTGTATTATAACTAAAACACTTTCTGATTAACATGACATAACTAGAACATTTTTATATAGGTCTATTTTTTTTAATTTATGATAAATTATCCATAATAATGATTTTACTTAGAATACGATATTTAACTGACGATATAAAGGTATAGAATTCTCGATAATAGTTAGTGTTAACAAAATAACATATAAACAATTTTACTTAATTTTAGATTTAAGATGAAAGTTTGGCACTGTTACAAACAGTGAGGCGCCTGTTTGTCCTCCATAGAATAAATTTTGCACACAATGTAACTGTTGTTGGGGTGGGTTGTTGTCCTTTGCGCTCTAAAATTCATTTGATATAGTAAAAACTGAGGAATGAATACAGTTTACGCATAATTCAATGTATATTATGATTTAATTATACGTTAAGTGTTTTTTCTTTTAACATATCATAAACAACTTATTTAATTTTTAGGCTCAAATAGTTTGATTTGTTAATTTTTAATAATCTATAATTGATAAATCTCGTATAAAATTTTTAAAAATGAGTACTATGCATCAAAATTGTAATATTGAATTTAACTATTCTTTAAATTTGAATTTCAGCTTGATCAAATTTCAATTTTTCATTAAAATGCTTATGGTCGAAGTATTTACATTAATATTGTTTTATGGAAACATTGTAATGTGCGTGGACGACCGAATAACTCAATTAAAAAATCTACTTGCTTACCCAGGATGGAAAGTTTTAGAAAATACTAAAATTTTGGATAGTAATAATTTTGTAACTGAATACAATACAAATATTATTAATGAAAACTATGATGAAGCTGTTAGAAAAATATCGATTATCTATACATGCATGATCTCAGGAAAAATAAAAGATCTAATGGTTTTGCTACAAAAGTTTTTAATGCAATGTTGGCATGATGAGAAAAGTGACAATATAGATCGTTACTACAATTGTGCAGAAAATATTATAACTAGTGTAAGAGCTGTAAGCACATCGTTAACTCACGTTCTTAATGCTCTAATGTTTTTATACCATCTTAGTCCAACATTTCTAGACATCAGACTAGCCTATAAAGCTTTATTAACATTAAAATTGTACACTGACAGGAAATCTGAATTAACACCTACTTTTAAAAGTGTAAATGGTATTGTTGATAAAATTACTATAAATAAAGAGCTCAATGAAATGGATTGGATTTTATCATTGGCTACTAGCTATTTACAAATGTATGATATTGAATATTGTGATATAGATGACATTAAAGTCAATAATTGTTTTTATAAAATCCCAGATAATGAAATTCTTTGTACTTCAGAAGAATCAAAATTGTTAATTGATACTTTGAAAGATAACATTTTAAATATGAATAGGGATTTGATAAAACTTTATTTTGAAATGGGCTTCACAAATTATTCAAAAGTATGTACATGCTCAACTTTTAAAGAATTAAATTTGATTTGGTTTATTATGCAAGAGAACTGCCCAGAAGGATTGCCAAATGTTATACCTTGGTTTGGTGAGATAAAAGATGTTTCAGAGGTAAAAAATGATATAAGAAAAAGTTACGATACGGCTGGTATAGCATTATATCAAAAATCTACTCTTATAGTAATAACCCAAATATTTTATACAAAAATTTTAAACTGCATTCAAAATATAAAAAATAAAATAAAATTTGAAAAAGCATCATATCTAGGAACACTGCAAAAATTTTTTAATTTTCCTTTCTTCGAGAGTTCTTCTTCTACATCAGTTTTAACCAAAAGTCGACAAACAAATAACATTTTAGAAGATTTCTGGAAAGAAATTCAATCCTTGTTACTTAAATTTAAAAATAATCTCCTTTTACCCGAAGACATCCAAATTACATTAACTGTTATGGATATTTTAATTACAGATTTAACTACCCATGAAAAATACGAACAGATAAATGAAAAAATTGTAGATCTTTTAAATCGACGTCTAAAAACCACGGGACTTGATTTAAACATAAAATTGAGTGAGACTGTTGAAGATGACTTACTTTTATTGGATAATTTTATAAACGAGTTTGTAAAGATGAAAATAATGGTAGAAGGTTTAGTAAAGAGTTATATTTTATTTAAATATCCTGACCACGCTCAACACTCATTAAATAATGTAATAAAAATAATACATCAAGTGTTACCCAAAAACAATTTTTGCGATTTTACATTTAAACTAATAGAACTTTTCAATTACATTGATAAATTATTAGAAAGATATATCGAATCACCTACAATGTTTTCTTTGAGGTTAAGTACAGTAATACATGAGCTAGAAAGATTATCCCAATCAATATCTAAAAATACCAATTTTATATTGAACAAAGATTTATCAAGTCAACACTTTCACTTTACTAACGCTTTAATTTTAATGCTTTTATACACGAATAATATTAACGAGTTTCCTATAAAGTTAAGTACTAATCAGGGTGATCAGAGATTTGTTATAATTGAACAGCTTAAACGTCTTAATATGTTAATAATTAATCAATTTAAACTGTATTCTATAAATAACTGCTATAATAAACAAAATTTAAAAAAATTTTGTGAAGCTGAAATAAAGGCAGAAGATTTTCAAATATCCCATTTAGTTGACAAATGTTTAAAAATATTAAATAATATAGATTTGGATTATGTATCAAGTTCGAATAAGTCGCAAAAATATATTAATAGTTGTGACTTCAGTTTATACGCAGTAATGTATGGTAAACTTTTTGATCTAACAGACGAAGAAAAAACACATGTAGAATCTATAAATCATATAAAATTTCAATGGAAAGGTTCTTACAATGATATTTATTCAATTCGACTAAAAGTCTTAAATGATCTATCAGCAAAAAGTGTTTCGGAATTTCAAGTTTTAATAGAAAACACAATATTATCTTTAATTCTTGGTTACATATTAAATATTTTACAATGTATAAACCACAATTATAACTGCAAATTAAATTCACAGCAAATCAATACAATATTATTTAAGATGGAACAACTTGAAGGTGAATTATTTTCTTTTTCGAAATTTGATGACCTTGCAGATTTGTTTGACCATTTTCGATTGTTTATAAGTTTTGAACAACCTTCTAAATATATTTCAAACATTCTTATAGTAATTATTGAAAATAAACTATTGTCATATAGAGCAGATCTAAAGACATTTTATGAAATAACTAAACAAAATGCATTTGAAAGGGATTGTGATATAGACGATATAATACAATCATTGATAAATTATATTGATATAATACTTAATATATACATGAATGATATAAAATGCGTCACTAAACACTTGAAATTAAATTTATGATTCGTGTTATCTTATATTAATATTTAAGAGAAAGTATATTATTTGTGTGAAATATTTTTAAATTTGAAGAAACAATTTAAAATTGGTAGCTTTCACCAATACTTCTATAAAGTATTCATAAAATAAAAATAATTAAAAATTAATTTTTATACTTGAAAACATAAATTTAATAATGTATTTAATTTATTACTTTAACTGTTAGCTTATAAAATGTTTTTTTTGAGAAGAACAACCTTTTTAAACAAATATAAAAATGTATTTGAATACAAAATTATTTCATTTTAAAATAAACAGGATGATTAAATTTTATATGAAAAAGTAAGCTATAAAATGTTTTCATAAGATTCCCACTTTTTTTTTAACTAAATAAAATAATTGAAACTCAATAATTGTGTCAGTTTTTCACTACAGTAAAAATTATGATTTTTAACTTTCAATATTTAAAGTAAATATTTTATAATAAAATGATTTGGAATACTATTTCTTTATTATGTTTTTTACTTTACTCATCGATAAATGCTGAAATGTTGGATAGCAAAAGTCGTGAGGGACTTTTGGATAAGTTAATCTCCAATCGACTAAGTTGGCAAGGTTTGAATGAAATTAAGGTAAAATATGACAATCGTTTAATAACAATGAATTTTTTAATTAACTCAAGTGCATCCAAAATCACATTTGAAGAAAAAGCACGTCAAATTTCAAATATTTTAGGTTGTATGTATACTAAAAAATTGAAATTAATTGTTAATTTAGCAAAAAGAGTCATAATAGAATGTAGAAAAAAAGAGGAGCATGGCGAGCTAAATAGTTTTGAAGAATGTGTGACACAAACAGTTTCTGAAATTGCATTACTTAGTCCATTGATGTTATTTTTGCAAAACTCATTAATTTTTTTTTATAAATTTTTACCACTAAAAAAAATTGATAGTAAAGATTTGTATACAGCATTAGTGAATATGCATCTATTCTTAAATAGATCAACACAAATGACACATTTGTCACATAATATATTAAAAGAATTAAATTTCAATATTTTATTGTTCGAAAATAAATTAAATAAGTTTTCATTGGAATGCTGTTGGTATCAAAATATTCTTTCAGATACAACAAAGTTAATTGATAATAATAAAATACAATCTAAAAATAATCAAGATGTAGTAAAAAATCCATTAGATAAAACTAAATATCTTCTAGAAATTATTAACAAAACTAGTAAACATGTAATAGAAACCTATTATATAGCGTTAGGATTTAATGAATTTGTTATACCCCTAGCACCTCTTTCAAATGTACAATTGTTGTGGGAAATGCTCGATACGCAACACGTAAATAAAGTTCTGTGGTTTAATGAGAAAAAAAATATACAAACGGTAATTGCAGAAGTAAAATTTCATCATAAAATAACTAATCTTATTGCACTTCAGTCATTATCGCTTAGGGTAATAAAGGAAGCCCTTTTCAGAAAAATTTTATCTTTGATAAAAACCATTTGTTTACCAAAAGCAACTTATGTTAAAGACTATTTTGTAAAGCCATTTAAAATTCTTTACGCAAATTTAAATCATTTTGTTATGAGTGTCTTACCTAATAGTTTTCATGACAGAAAAAAGTCAATTGAATATCAAATGCAATCTAAGGAAAAATTTAATAAGAGTATTTTAAATGAAATATCGAGACTTCAGCACTTAAATATTCCTAATGAAATCGTTGCCACTTTATCAAATCTTAATTTTTACATTAGAGAGAGTGTAAAAAATAATCATATAGAAGATACGTGTAGAAGTACTACTCAATTTTTTGAAATGGAGTTAAGTGAGATAGGCGAGAATTACTGGGATGGAGACACTAATAATTCAAACATTAATTCATTATTAGTGTACGTTAATGATTTAATTTCCGTATCAGAACAATTTGAAGAAATGGTTTTAATAAATACTATTTTGAAAAACTCAGTATTTGAAGAGAAGAGTATACGATTAAGTTCATTGATTGTTCCAAATAATAATGCTATAAATTTTGATTTACAACAAATTTATTACATTGTAAGTGGAATTATTAAATTATTAAAAATAAGTAAAATCATCACTTCAAACTGTTTCAATAAAGAAATATTAAACGTAAGTTGTTTTTCGGATTTGGATGTAGTAAGAAAAATACTAAAGTACAACTGCCAAATAATAATAATAAAATTAGTAGTTGATTTTTCAAACAATTTGAATATCATAAATGCGTTTGTTCTATTGTTACTTTTTTTTAAAAAATTAGAAATAATTCTAACAAAATATTATGTAAATAAATCAACACAAAAATTAGGATTTAAAAAAATTCAAATAGAACAGTTAGTTCAATTATATTCCATGATGACAAATCAACTTGAACATTTTATCTTTAATATTTACTCAATACAGGAATTTCAAAATAATAATTTTCAGGAAATACAAATTATTAAATATGAATCGACTGAAAATTATTTAGAAAGTTTATATGCCATTTTAAAAACTATTAGTCCAAGTAATTCACAAAAACTAAATAATGATTGTGATTTTAGTTTTTTAACTGCTTCATACGCAGCTCTCATATTAAGTCGGAAACACAAAAGTAATGCTTTAATATGTTTGGATGAACTAACCTTTTCATGGGGAAATAAACGAAAAACTCTTAAAAATATATTAAATCATATTATGGAGGATACTGATTCATGGCAATTTTCTCAATACCAAATATTGGTTCAACAAGCCTTGACATCAATTTTATTTGGCTTTATTTTAAATTTTTTGGAAGCAATTAATGTTAATAAGACTTATATTTATCCAGAGATATTAAAAGAATTAGAGAACATTATAAATCAATATGATAATATTGTTTATTCAGTATCTAAATCTAACTCACCTAGAATTATTTTTAATATGATTAAATTACTTACCAATCATTGTCTAGTTTATATTTACAAATCTCGTATTATCAAAGATAATATTGAAAATATGCTGTCATGGTTTGGTGTTAATTTAGAAGAATTTTACAAAATATTGAAAAATAATAAAATTTTCTTCGATGGTGTTAGGAAAATTAATTTTGATATAATTGACCCATTAAAAAAATTTGTTGAAAAAGATCTATTCCGTTATAAGAATATTTTTTACTGTGTATCGAAATACATGGTACTAAATTTATAATAAATGTAGCCGCATCATAAATCTTATTTATCTATATTAATTATAAGCTTAAAAGAAATTTAATATATGTTATTGTTTAATGAATTAAAAATATTGAATCTTATTGTATTATTTATTTATTATATTGTGCGTGTAAAACTGAACAAATATTCTCTTGTATTTTATTGAAACTGACCTATTATGCTTTTTTTTAGAGAGGAAAGCAATTAGTAAAATAGACATTTAATGGCATAACTATAGTCGTATAATTTTTATTTGATATCAATTTAATTTCCATTAATATTCCAGTATTATCATTAAAATTATTTTATACAAGACCAGATCACGGTATTTTACTATTTTTAGCTAACTCTAATTACAAATTGAATTGTTAATAATAAAATAAAATGTTTAATTAAATTAAAAACTGTTAATACGAAACAAAGCAACGTAGTTATTTTTTATTAAAGTAAACTCATATACCATCTGTGTTTTTCAATCTAAAATATAATAATCCTTTAAAACTGTTAAATTTACAAATACACCATGTTTCAAAAATTAAAAAATCTTTCTGAAAGGAGTTATTAAGCATAATTTGGTGATTGTTAACTAGGGTGCTCAACAATACATTTATCCGATGGATAACAATAGAATAAGTAATTTATTTAAATAATAACTGAAACCTTAATAAAGCTTGTGAGTAAAAGTCATTACAGTTAAATTTTTACAGAAATTCATAAATCCAGCACTAATAATTTATTTTAGTATTATTTTATAGAATTAAACACATTAAATTAGAATTAATTCCAGCACATTAAAAACATATTTTCATAAAAAAATGTTATATTATATTTCTATAGTATATTATATAAAATTCAAATTGTATGGTTAATCGTGTAAAATTTCTTTTTGGTGCACTTTATATATCAAAATTTAGAATAGTAATAAGTAATCATTTTAATTGAATTCAATTTTCAATCCATTAAAATAATACAAAGGTATTTTCTAAAAATTACGTCTATTGTTTTTCACATATTTAAATGACGTAAATTTTTTTGAAATTCACGTCATGTCTAATTTATAATTATAGAATATCTTAAGAACTATGATATATAAATCTATATTAAATTTTTTTATTCAACTTACTTAGTTAAAACAAATTAAGGTAATCGGATTTAAATTAACTTATTTTATCGCATTATAAAATAATGTTATTAAAAATTTTATTTTTATTGTTGAATTCTATTCTTCTTTCGCTATCAACAGAAGTTTTATTTAATCAATTAGAAAATGTCATAAATCAACCGGGATGGAGATTGATGCAAAATGTTAATTACATTGATGGCGACAATGTCATCACTATTGATGAAATTTATTCAGTTACAGACGATGGAGCAGTTCTTACGAAAAATTCTACTGATATAATGTTTCAACAATTAACAACCATTATGAGTTGTAAGTATGCTAAAAATATAAGAGATTTGATCAATTTGGTTATAGACGCTATATTAAAGTGTAAAGTACAAGATAATAATGACATGAAAGTTCTTTTTAATTGTACGAACGAAATTTCAGTACATATTAATAGTATTGGTCTTATAGGTTCTCAAATGTTGGACGATTTTTTGTATGCTTATAAACTTTTATTGCCTAATATTAATGTTCATAAAATATATGCAGCGTTAGTATACATCAAACTTTATAGTACTACATACGCCAAACAGATTAATACAGTCATTTCTGATCATGATGAATCACAAATACACAATGTGATTGATAATATTATGAAGTTTTTATTTTCGTCTGATAGTGTAATCCAAGCTTTCAATATAGAAAATTGCTGGCCTCTAAAGTCTTCATTACGTTCAAATTTGATAAATCATTTAAAATTAAATATTTCACAAAAAAATGAAGAAAAAGAAGCGGTTTCCATTCTATCACATAATTATATCATAAACAAAAAAATAATGAAATTTCAAAATTTTAAATCAAAATTTATTTTGAATAAAGAATCTGAACAGAGTTTTTTCTTTGATGATTTAAATTTAATATGGAATACACTAGGGCATTATCAAGCTCATGGTTACCCGATAAAAATCCATTGGTTTGGGCAAACATTAGAAGCTTGGGCAATTTTTAATGAACTGAAATCTCAAAACAAACTAGAGAGCTTAGCTAATTTACAAATGTTATCAATAAAAGCTTTAACTCATGTTTTGTATACTAAAGTTCATAATGCTTTGTTAGCTTATTTGACTATATCAAACGAATTAAAATTTAAAAATGTATGCCCAAATATTTTTCTCTCCTCATTGAAACAAAATTGGTTGAAATTATGTAAAGCAGATTTACCAGCTATTGGAGAGGCATGTTTAAGCATTAAGGAAACGAAAGACAAAATAATGTGTAAAAATCAATTTATAAAAACACTTCAAAAAAATTGGTTAAATTATCATCCTATTGATACACATGCTGTTGAAGTGGCTTGTAGCACTATGATAGAAAACATTGAAGAACCAAGTTCTCCGAGAAAATTGGTCTCAATGGGTATGAATTTTATAAATAAACTCTTTAATTCAAATAATGAAAATGTGGCACATCCACAGGATAAACTCATTGATGAAAAAACCTTTTGGGAATCAATGAAAAATAGTATAATTAAAATACAAAGTATTCGTTTTCCGGCAGGTTTGGTAATACCATTAAATATGTTTAATAATTTGATGAATCATGTCTCTGAACATCTTACTTATGAAAAATTCACAAAAGACGTATTGGGACTATTAAATATAGAGATTAAGAAAACTAGTATAGTATACACTGATGCTTTGACAAAAAATAATAATCCTGAACTTCATTTAAAATCTTTAAATGATTTTGTTGAAGATATTCTCAAAATTGGAAAACAAGTAGAACATACTAGTCTGAGTTTTAAATTATTACAGAACGAGACATTGCAAACGAACGAAGCATTATACAATTTAAGTGTTAAAATTAATAATTCTCATAATACAAATGATTGTTTACTATCAAAAAAATTATTGGAGTTTTTAGATTTTAATGGTGAATTAATTCACATGTGTACGAATATAGTTTCTGAAAATCGGAGATCAAGTTGCTTCTCTTATGTTACTAGTATTGGAGATGTTTTAGGCATTAAATTTGAAAAGATTTCTAAGCAAATATTTTCAAACGCATTTTCGACATTTAATGAAGAAAATAAAAACATACAAAATGCTTTGGTGTTAACTCTTTTATACCTTAACAGCGTTCGATGGAAATCAAGAACTTCAGTGGAAACTGAACAAAACTTTTTAGAAAGAAATGCCAAGCAATATAATCCTTCATCGGTTCGGATAGATAAATTTAAACGTTTAAATATTTTGATATCTAATCAATTAGAAAATTATGTGATCAATAATTGTGATTTGTCTAACTATGAAAATACAACTCTGAAAAATTTGAAAGTAAATCGTCCTCATGATTATAGAAACGCAATTATTGATATGTGTTATAAGACATTAAATTCTATTGAATTAAATGATAATCAGTTAATAGACAATTGCAGCTTTAATCTGTCGGATGCAACGTACAAATCTCTAATTGACAATTACCAGACAAATAGTGAATGGAATCCATTGAAGTGTGTTGAGCAGTTTCAAATAATATGGAATGGTACTTCTAGTGACATTGCAACTATTCGAAAAAAAGTAATAAGTGAAGTTGATTCTGTATCGTTATCTAAATATCAAGTATTAGTATTAAACGTTATTTCGTCTATAGTATTTGGTTATATGTTAAATATTCTTCAAGTCAACAATAATAGCTTAACTATTGATGATATCATAAAAATTCGTACAAAACTTGGCGTATTTGAGCAAATAGTATTCCCCTTCTCTAAAACGAATTCATCGGCTAATATTTTAAATTTATTTGTTTGGAGTCTGGAACCCAGTCAAATTACAGGGGAAAAATATTATTTAATCAAAGATAATATAGAGAGCACGGTAACATCTTATGGCTTAGAATTAACAAACTATTATGAAGTTCTAAAGAATAATAACATAATAAGAAGTCATGTCTGTAATGTTTCTGAAGCAGCAATAAATCCATTAATCAGTTTTATTGATGTTACATTAACACCGTTTAAAGACCTTTTTAAATGTGTTGCTCAATACATGACTTTAAGGACTTAGTTGGTTCAATAATGTATATCAATAAATTACTATTTTAAAATAGATTTTATCCTGTCCAATTTATATTTAACCGTTGAAAATATTTGTATAGAATATATTCGTAGTATTATTTAATATAATAATTACAATGCATTATCTCTCATCAAATAATTTTATATACATTACATAAAGTATGGGTCATAAGGATATGACAAATCCAGTAACTTTTAATCCAATTATCAATTCATTGATTTATATTTTTAAAATAATTATTGCTATCTTTGGCTTTGTTTAAAGTATATTATTATAATTTACAACTAATAAAAATAAAAGATCTGAAATAGCTATTTTTGAGCCCTTTTCATACAAAAAATGTTGATAAATCGATAACAATTATAGAATATGTACATACTACAGTACCGGGTTAAGATTTATATGGGTTCAGAGGTGGTACTTTCAGTTGGGTCCCCTGTAGAAAATATCACTTTCTTAAAAAGTGATACGCAAAAATAAAAACCAGAAAAACTCCGGCACTAATCATAACTAGGCTAGTAAAATTCGAGATGGGTCTCTTAGACTTGAGGCTTCTGGGGCGTTCGCCGCTCTTAATTCAAACCTTACTAATTATGTGAACTCGACCTAAAATCATCATTAGAAATCATCTATTAATATACTATGTAAGTAAAATTCTAAAAATTGGCTATTTCGTAATTATAAATAAAAATAAAGAAACTGTATTTTTTTTTCTTATAAGTAATAAATATATGAAACAAATAAAAAATTAATTAATAAACATATGAAAGTAATCTATGAAAGCATTTATTATTATAAAAAAAATTTCAATAGAATGATAATTGTATCAAAAGTTATTGGATTTGTCATATCTTGATTACTCACTCTGTATTTATAATATTATACATTATAATTCTAATTGTATACTACAATGATAAAATTATAATATACCAGACTTTTAATTATAAATTTTAAATAATATCACACGAATAATAATTATAAATTTTAGACTATATTGTTTTTTCTTAGCAAAATGATTCTTTAGCTATTATTATGTCATTTACATTATTTTAATATATTATTTAATTATTTTAAATGAATGCAAATTGAATAATAATTACTTCCTAAAATTTATACATGGGTTTAATTTATATTTGAGGATAAAAACAATAAATTAATAAATGACATAGTAAAAAATGATCAATAAGAATTTAATTTGAAAGAACCTTGTTTAGTACGTTAATAACTATTTTTAATAGTTTATAATTTTGGTTTTGAGTTATTTGATACAGTTCAATTTCGTTAAAATCCTATAATAATATTATCAAATTTTGTAGATTACTAAATATTATATTATCAAAGAAATGCACAAATATCTTCACCAACATAATACTCATTTCTATTAATTTAATGCATCAACTGCATAAAATATGAAGATATTTTCAAGCCATCATATAATCGATAATTAATGTTTTGAAACTATAATTTTATTTGACAAATTAACATAGACAACAGTGGTTTTACATACAGTTAAATGTAAAAACCAAATCTTTACTCGGTCTTCTAGACAATATAGAATGCGTTGTAATTGTGGTCGGAGCCTTCTTGTCGCAGTTTTATGCCGACAGCGAGATCGATCCACGAGTAATCTGTATAGTCACCACTGCTATAGGGAATTCGCACTCTTATAAGCTACTACAAGCTCCCTAATCCCTTCAGCAAAACAGTTATACTTTCAGACTTAATAACAATACTATTTTTGACCTGACATTATAATTTATCATATAATATTATGAGTACACAAAAAGTGATGGTTATGATAAGTAAGATGAATGCCCTACTTGTGTATTTAATAAGATAATTTCTTGCTCAAATAAAATTTTCTTTTTTCGTTCAACATCTCGAAATAAAAATTTAGTTTTATTTTTCTGATAAATTATAAACTAAGAAATCGTGTTAATTTAATTTTTAAAAACTATACAAAAACCTAATTAATGTTCAAAAATAAATGTATTCAGATTCTTTATGGACAATAATTTTCCAAATTATTATTTAATCATAAATACGTGGTATAGAAGAAGAATCAATTAAAATTTTTAGTTCAATGCAATTTTTTTTTCATATCACAATTTTTAAAAATTATCATGTGAGATAAATAATTATAGTCATGAGAATATTTCATGGAGGTAATAATATTTGATAATTTGTGTTAAATTTAAAAAGAAATATGCCAATAAACATAAAATACACACATTTTAAATAAATTTTATTAATATATTCTTAATTTTTGGGGTTTAAATATTGGTATGGAAATATATTATTATATTTGAGAATCAATTGATAATTAAATGTAAAAAATAAAAATTGTTTTCATGATAAGTAATAGTGGTTTTTAAGAATGTTTTTTATTCACTCATGTAAATCATATAGATTTATTAGAAAAAACATTTATTGCTTTTATTTTTATTTTAACACACTATGCATTTAGTTTTATCAAAGGAATAAAAACAATACTATGATATTTTTATAGCTCTCATTTGAACATTAATATTAATTTGAGTTTTATTTTACAATTTATTATACTAAGATTTTATTTACACATACACATGCATATAAATATCTGTATAAATGAAAATTTAATTACAAGAAAAAATAATTAGAATATAAAAATATATTTTATATGTGACTATTTAAACGTCGTTATATTAACATGAAATCAGTGCAAGTTGAAGTGTATCTCATTTAAGCAATTAACATGTAATAATATGAATATAATAGTCTGAGAGACTACTCTGCAATAACCATCTCCTATATCTTTTATAACGCTAATGTCCCCGTTTGCAATACATACCACTCATACCTATGCACATTGTTCATAAGCACTAATGCTTTATAATACATTTCTATGATGCCATTCATAATATTTCTTTGTCTATCATATGCCCATGGTTTTTTTTTTATGGCTGTGATAAAATGTTCAGTAGGATAAATATAACTATTTTCACGTAATGAAATAGATTAATCTGGCCATATTATTTGCTTTCCTTGCCTTTTGTGCTCGACCATTGTCAGATTTACGACAGTCTGGAACAACATGATTGTTAGTAGATAATTAGCGACAATAAAAGCTTAGATAAATTGCCGGATGACATTCGACAATATAAATAAAGTGGGGCTGTGGTTATTAAAAAGTTCAGGATCATCGTCAACCACTCGATAGACCAAAATCTAATCAAAAGAAAATCAGTTAGCCAATTCGATGCATCCGCTTGTACATACCGTTTTTTCGAGTATGCGGTGGCCGAAATGGATGAAATGCGGTTGGTGGTGAAGGGCTACGCACCCTGTCGGTCGACGAGCGGCTATCGTACGACGATTTCCCCTGATGGCAAGGCGGCGGACACACATTCGACACCGGCGCGGCGCCACGGCGGACGACGGGCAGTACCATTTTCGCGGCGGTAAACGAATACCGTGTGAAGCACATCATCATAGTCTGGTGGTTCGTGTGCGATCAGTTGCGTGTCGTACATTTGTTCAAATTAACCGTTGCGTTGTTCAAAAACAAACTTTGGAATATCTGGAAAATTTGACAATTTTTTTTTTTTGGTTTTAATTAGCGTCGTTTTGAAAAATTTTTACATAGAGTCAAGATAACACGTATTTACTATGTAAGTAACTAACCCTTTTATTTCTTTGCATATTTTTCAGTACATGAAATGTATTATTTACATCTATTAAGAGTTAGTAAGAGTATGGATTTTAAGAATGTTCTCTCATAATCTATATTAGTTATTTTGATTCATAAACCTCATGGCTCGTTACCGGCAAAGAACTTAAACTATCATAATGACCAAAATTATAACTAATTAAGCGGAAACATTTTTAAGATATAATGTGCATAGCAATGATTTTAAAGTTATGTGACATTTACACCCCACACAAATTATTCGTATTCAGTTTGTTTCAATGGTTTTATGTGTATATTAATTCTTAGCAATTTATCAGTATAACAATAATGTATAATTATATAAGAATTTTGAATAAATTAAAATAAATTACATTTTATTGTGTGAAAATAAAATTTGTTAACTAATGTAACTTGGTGCATAAATATAACTTAAACTTGTGACATATCGCAGTAAATAAGCAAAATAAATCATGGGACCATGAAAAATGAAAAGTTTTTAAAACTTAAGACATAATGACTAATGTTTGCGCCCACTAATTTTCTTATTAAAACATTGAATTGATGTTCGAACGTTATATTTCTTTCAGTGAGGTGTTTGAACTGTCTTTTTAAAAATCAATTTTCACAACTCTATTTTTAAGACACATTCCAACAATTGTAAATGTTGAGTTCAATTTTAATCTATTTTATATAGTTTATCACATATCTTTTGGTGCTATAAAAATGTACATACGTTGAGATTACAATATACTAAAAATGATAACTATTTAAGTCACGAGGAAGTATGTAGCGGAAAGCAAAATACATTTAAAATGATTGAATTATGCTTAACACTATATAGTATTTACGTAAGTTTTGTATCATTGCAAAGGTCAACTTTATATCATCAAAATAAATTTGAACTTCATTGTTCATTATTAAACAATTTTAATTGTAACAAAATCCTTATATTTTTTAAGCAAAAGGCAATTTTTTGGAGAGGAAAACTGTAAATTCATTGTAAAACCTATTTGATGTGAAAAATTATAATTTTTTCACAATAAATAAAAATTTAAAACAACAATTAATAAAAAAATGAATTATATTAAAATACTTGTCAAATTAGAGAACAAAAATTTGTATAGAGGGACTAGGATATTTTTTCATTTTAATATAATAACAATATTTTAAATGAAATTTAAAAAAATTCGCATTATTTTTGTTAATATATTGACAGCATAATAGGTTGTCACTGATTTTTTTTTTTCTTCTGAGTGACAGTACTATTTTTATTCCTATTATTATAAAAATGTTATTTGCAAAATTTCAAACGGACCCGATAACTTCAACACTAGAGAATTTCAGCTTAAAATTTGAATTTTATCGTTTTTTTTGGAATTATTATTTATTATTACCAATAACTTTTTGAATATTAAAAATTGAAAAGAATATAAGGAAATAATAATGTATAACTAAAATCGTCTAAAAAAAAATCTCCTCTGATTTTCTACTAAAACTAATATTTAGATACAGAAACAAAAAATAAAATAATGAAAAATTTTAAAAATTAACGTTAACTATATTTTGACGATACGTATCAGATCCGATTTTATGAATATGAATTTATCACCGAACTTTTATTTTGTGAGATAAACTAACTTTGACAATACTTATTTATCTTACTAGTTTTTAATAAATTTGTATAACATGCACATTAACAATATAATATATTATACAGTGTATATTATATACTGAATAGTATACAATATATATATATATATTGTCAGAAGTATATCGCCGCCCGGTAAATTAGCAATCGTTCGATCGGATTTATCTTTAGTTAAATCAATTAAGTGATGTGAATGTCATAATTAATCTGTTGGTCACTTTCAGTCACTTCTTTCTGTAAATTAATTATAATGGACGAATAAACGATTAACGATATTAATATATGTTGATCTCATTGCATTTTACTTCATATAATTGGGTATTCATTAAATTATTAATAAATAAGATTTAAAATTTGTAAAATCATTTTAAGAATTATCCAAATATTTATTTATTTTTTATTAAATAAATTTTGATGAATTGATAACATTTTCTTTATCGTCTAGATCTACTATCTAAATAAGTGATTTTAATAACTATTAAATATAAATCATAAATCCTCATAAAAAAAAAAGTGCAGTGAAAATGACTGATACGAAACCAACAGTGAGTTTTAATCAAGTTATTGGTACTTCGGGTACATTTGGATATTACCATTTTCTAGTCAAAGTTGACAAATTTCTTTTTGGTGAATGGAATCGAAAATGTAGAACAAAAGAAAGCCATATTGCTATCGTCTGTCAGTGAAGAAATTCATAAAATTTTATTTAGATTTTATGTACCTAGCACACCAGACACTCAAACATACAGTACATTGTTAAAGCTTCTAAATCAATACTACAAGCCGGTTAAATCATACTACTACGCGGCTAGGCATACATTTTACCTGGCCAAACAATGTACTGATAAAACGATGGCAGAATGGGATGTTGTGTCAAAAATCTTGGATCGAAATGCAAGTTCTCGTCAGAATTAACCACTGTTATACGAAATATATTCGTAGTAGGAATGAGTCCTGGAAAAATACAAGACCGGTTAATAGAAGAAGATGCATCTGATCTAAAATCCACGTATGTGAATCTAATGAACATAGCGACTACTTAGGAAGCTACCATGAGAGAAAAAAATACTTGGAAACACCATGAATCGGAACTTAACTATCAAAAGCAACTTCGCCAAAATAAACAGATCAATCGTCAACCATCGGATAAATCAAAGTGTGGAAAATGTGGCCGCTCAAGCATTTACTAAGTAATTGTCGATACAAGGATTACAACTGTACCTTATGCAATTTAAAAGGTCATTTGGCTCCTATGTGCATAAATGTTAAGAGTTTTTAGCAAAATTATGATAACCGTTCATACACTAAAGTTTTAACTGAAAATTCTAATGAAATAGTAGAATTAGAAACAGAAACAGGATTGTCTATACTCGCGAGTGCGATTACCGGCACACACACCATTAACAATTGTATTGTTTCTCGACAAAGACTTATATTCTATGTAACTATTTGATGTTGTCTTTCATATTAAAAACACAACAAATATAATAAAAATTTATATTTATAACAAATTGATAATTAGATCAAAAGTTAGTTAGGTCTGAGACTTTCTGTATGTACTTAATGCGCTTAAAAAATTAAATAAATGTTACCCATTTACAAAATTAATATTTAATAATAGATTCGTGAAACGTGTAAGATCACTGTCGATTGAATTATCTGTAAAAATAGAATAAAAATTCCATCAAAATAGATCGTACGTAAATTTTTAGATTTTCTTCTTAAGAATACTAATTTTAATCTATCTGAACCAGACAACGCCAAATATGAAAAACCCCTTTATTTTATAAATAAATAATTTTTTATAAAAGAATCTTAAAATTACGCTATCATAAAAAAGTCACTTTGAAATTCTCTTATACATTTTACAGCTTTATTTTTTTTTAATATTGAACCTAATTTTACGTGGATAATAAAAAGATAATCAGTATTCTTTTGGTATATTTCTCATAAATATCCATTCAAAAACATAAGTGTATAATGGGTTTAAAAGAGACCACATGCATATGTAAAATATTTTTCAGTTCAATTTTTTAAAATATTCCGGAACGTCTTATATCTTTTACCCTATATTAAATTAAAGGTTTTGATGTGTACTACAATATAAAAAATATATAACCGTTCCGAAAATTGTTCTACTATGTGTCATCAATATAAAAAAATCATAATTTTTACAATTCGAAATCTACACCTACACCTACACTGTTGCANTCAATATAAAAAAGATCATAATTTTTACAATTCGAAATCTACACCTACACCTACACTGTTGCATTCATCATATTCACTGATATATATCCAATAGATGTTTTTGGTAAATAAATACGATTTATGTTCATTTTAAGGCAAAGGGTGCTATAATAAAACATTAAATAATAAAATAAATAGTAAATCGCTCATATAAATTTGTAGTTAGTCTATACTTAGGTCATACTTAATTCCTAATAATACAATTAAACAAATTCGCTAAACGATTACAGTAACTTTCAATGTATAGTATGTAATGTAACACAAACAATTTAAGAAGCTTTTTATATTTGAGTAAAATTTTAAAATATAACAATTATAAAATTAAAAATATACAAATTATTGTGAAAATTAACAGATTTTCATTAAAGTATTTTATGATATTGATGTTATTCACTATCAGATATCATTCTTACTTATTCCTATTATATCGCGTTTCCAGTGTCTATGTTATTTTTCTCTAGTTTTTTACATTGTTTTATACTTATTATTAAAAAATATAGAAGATAGTCCTATTTTTGGGGAGAATAGTTTTGAAGCCTAGAGATAATTATGTATTACTTTACTACTGTACCTCAGAGATCAGGTATGTAAAATTTTCTTATTAAATTAAGTAAAATTATTTTTTATGTTTATTAAATTAATAGTTAAAAATATAAATATTTAAATGGTAATTATAGAAAAAGGATAGTAAATATATAGTAATGAATGCCTCATAAATAATAAATGTCTAATAGTACGCAATATATGTAGAATTCCTTCTACGTTAAATTTTAACTAGATTTGAATAAATAAATATTTATAAACTATAATTTACATCAATTTTAAATATATAACATATTAAACTATTATATTGTAAAAGGTGTTGTTTTAAATATTAGATACATGTATAGCTTAAAATTGACAAATTTTGAGTTACTGCACTAGAGTACTCACAGTTCTATTTATTAAAAACTACAATTAAATATTGTAAATAAATTAAAATAACTTTGTCAATTTTACAATACAATGGAGATTTATTAATATAATAGTCATGTGACAGAATAGTAGTTTAACCTATTTCTATAGATAAAACTATATCAATATATTCTGGACGCTACTTTATTAATCCGAAACTTAATCCAAGATATTTGAATATTATGTATTTAAAATAAATACTTCCTATGCTAGATAGAACATAAATTATTGATCATAAAATTGTAATATCACATTGTAAAAAAGAAATACAAAAATGTTTTGTGTTTAATTATTATCATTAAATAGACTCAACAAAAAAATACTTGTACGTCAATAAGAATAAAAGAAAAAAAGACATAACGTTAAATTATAAATTTTCTTACACAAATTTTCAAAAAAAAACATAAAATATACCACTAAACTTAAATATAAAATATACTAATTACAAACAAATTATAGAAAATATTAATAAAATACTAAATAATTTTTACAAAAATTATTTAAAATGATAGAAATTGTAAATCAAATACAAAATACATACATAATTAATAAAAAATATATAACTAACATATACAAATTATATTTTTTATCTAAGGTTCTAAGGATATAATATATTCCTTTGAATCAGTATCACAATACCACAAATTAGGACCAACATTGTGACAGTGATCATGTATACTTTTATTAATGGAAACTTCTTCATTATTATTAATTTTTTTACTATTTTCTGTCTCCATATTTACTTCTGGTTCTAATGACTTATTAATATTTCCATTGGCATCAATAGTTTTACAGTTTTTTAAATCCTTCTTTGCTTCTGGTATCAAAGATTCATCATCTTTTTCATAAACATCATGAGTTTTACAGTTTTTTATATCCTTATTTGCTTCTGGTATCAAAGATTCATTAACTTTTTCATAAACATCATGAGTTTTACAGTTTTTTATATCCTTATTTGCTTCTGGTATCAAAGATTCATTAACTTTTTCAAAAACATCATGAGTTTTACTAATTTTTATATCCTTATTTGCTTCTGGTATCAAAGATTCATTAACTTTTTCATAAACATCATGAGTTTTACTGATTTGTATGTTCTTCTTTGCTTCTGGTATCAAAGTTTCATCAACTTTTTCATAAACATCATGAGTTTTACAGTTTTTTATATCCTTATTTGCTTCTGGTATCAAAGATTCATTAACTTTTTCATAAACATCATGAGTTTTACTAATTTTTATGTCCTTATTTGCTTCTAGTTCTAATGGAACATTAACATCTTCATTGGCATAATTACATTTACCGTTTTCTATATCCTTATTTGCTTTAGGTAACAATGGAACATCAATATCTTTATTGATTTCAATTTTTTTACTAATTTTTATATTCTTATCGATTTCTGGTAATGAAGGAAAACCAATATCTTTATTGATTTCGATTTTTTTACTAATTTCTATATTCTTATCGATTTTTGGAAACAAAGGTACTTTAATATCTTTATTTATTTCAATGATTTTATTTATTGGTGGTAACAATGGTACACCAATATCTTTATTGATTTCGATTTTTTTATTAATTTCTACATTCTTATTGACTTCTGGTAACAAAGGTACTCTAATATCTTTATTTATTTCAATGATTTTA